GTAATAATAATAATAATAATAATAATAATAGTAATAATAATAATAATAATAATAATAATAATAATGATACTTTTAAATACACTTTTCACACATAAGATGCAGCTCAAAGTGCTTTAATGGGGGGCGGAGAGACAAACACATCGAGGACAGCCACTGAGGGAGAAGCAAAAACAGAGGAGGCTATTTCAGGCGGAGGATGATGACGCCTTTCATGACCTAAAAAGTGAATTTAGAAAAGAGAGGGACGACTTCACGTCCAACAAGGTCAAACCACAAAGTCAACAAGTCTCTTCAATAACAGGTCACTGTGTGTGTGTGTGTGTGTGTGTGTGTGTGGGGGGGGGGGGGGGGGGGGGGGGGGAGGGGGGGCACATCACAACACCTCTCACCAATCTGCTTTGACGTTAATGAAATCAGGTTTTCCTCTTGGTTTCTGTGTGTGTGTGTGTGTGTGTGACCCAGAAGAGTGATGAGTAGGACTTTGACCCCAATCAGGCAGAACGTTGACGGTGAACAACAAAAGTTCCAGTGTCAGGCTGAAGAAACTCTTAGAGTCAACAGACAGAAGATCTGATCCTTGATGATAGAAGTGTTCTGGTTTATGACTGTCAGACAGTTTGGTGTTGAACTATAAAGTTGATATAATAAAAGAAAAGCTGTGAATTGTCACCGTCCATCAGCTGAAGGCTTCAGCAGCAACAGGCCTGATGTTTGTCTCACAGTTAAAACACGTCTCCACTTTCTATAATGCGACTGATTTCTGAGTGAAACTCACGACATCCACCGGTTTCATTTCAAATCCCCAGAATGGCGTCCTCCGCTGTCGGCTCCATCCACATTCATTCTCCTCTTCGTACTGACGTGTGTGAGATGCTCGAACGACTTTCATGGCTGACGGTGGAGGAAACATTAAGATCTGGTTTCTGTTGCTCATGTGAAATACACCACGCTCTCTGGCGCCATGCAGGGGAGCACCGGTCCTGTCCGGTCCTGTCCTGCACGTCTTCTCCACGTTACTCCGTCTTCATTTTCGTCTTCTTCATGTGCGTTTGTTACGACCTTGATTTAAGTTATTATTGTTTTATTTACCCGTTGATTTTAATCTCGTGTTTGTGTGTGGACTCAGGAGAAGTGACCGCCGCGTGGAGGCTGAAAGAATCAGGCTGATGTGTGAAACACATGTTTATATCTATACGATATCTACATATATACAGTACATCTATACCATCGCTCTGCTAACAGCACAGAGATCCACACGCATTAAAACCCACAAATTACCTTTAAGGTTAAAAGTCCTGCTCAATCTTTAAGAGCAGATCACAGACTAAATCCTGCACACTCCACTTCCCCAGCTGTCCCAGCAGATGGTCCACCCCCCCAAACACACACATGCTTCCCTCAGCAAACAGCTCAGACCCAGGTGACAGGAAGTGCGAGTGGCAGTGAGACGGGATGACGGGATGAGGCTACGAACAGGAAAGAGCGACAGATGAAGAGGAGCGAGCGGAGGAGCGCTCGCTGCCCAGGGGGCCACAGACGGATGTGACATGACAGCAAACGCAGCTCCGTCCTCGCCGACAACACCGAGCGGCTTTGAAGTCAGACTCTACCTCGTGCTGCGTTCACTGACCCAGTTTGGTAACAGCTCAGTGAGCCACCACTCTGTCTGTAAACACTGAGGAGACGTCACAATCAGACCGACTGTTCCCTCCCCCGACCGTCTCTAACGACCAGCGCCTGACTCAGGCTGACGCTCACTTCCTGACAGCAGGAAGCACGAGACCAGTGATTGTGTTGGTGACCCCCCCCCCCCCCCCCCTTACGCAGCTCACCCCTGACTGACTTTGTGTCATGAGGCTCCTTCTGATGAGTCGCCTGGTAGAGGTCATGACCCCCCCTCCATTCACTGCAGATGGTGGCACAAAGAGAGACGGTGACTGAACCCGACTCCTCACGGTCGACTCCCCCACCCCCC